AGCCAGTCAGCTTTCTGCAAAGTCCTGCCAATCAGCTCCTCGCCTTTGTGAACCCGCCGGTCCACTCTGCACCTGCTCCTTCAGCGTCTGCCACACATCTCCTCGAACACACACCGCTCACACTTTATGGGTTCTTTTCATCACTACATGTTGCTGTTTGAAGCCTGAGAATGTGATTAATTTAATGTAGAAAAACAACTAAAGGATTTTGTAAAAAAGCATTAAAACACAAAGTCAGTTAAACTTCTGAGATGTCAATCTGCCCGCTTAGGAAAGATAACCTGCGGCATATTCAGGTTGCAAAGTAGCATCCTGTGTCAAGAGTGTGGAGGAGACACCATCCTGAGGCTCAGGATCTGCTGCTGTGTGTGAGGAGGAATAGGAGGCGCGCCCCGAGAGACGTGCAAAACGAGCACCAGCGGGTTACTCGTCGGGCACAGACTCCATGCGGTCCTGACGTCCATTAGTGGGACCTCTGCTCACATACCCAGCACCGTGTGGCATTCACCAACACAAAGGAGGACATGCCTCCCCACACCGTCACTGACCCACTGCCAAACCCGTCATGCTGGATGATGTTGCAGGCGGCTTAACAATCGCCACGGTTTCTCCAGACTCTTTCATGTCTGTCACAAGTGCTCAGCGTGAACCTGCTTTCATCTGTGAAGAGAGCTGAGCTCTGATGGCGGGCCTGCCACGTCTGGTGTTCTGTGGCGAAGGCATTTTGCAGAGCACAGCAGCCATGGAAGGAATTTGGCTTGAAAGGACAACTTAAATCTCCACATTTTGACTTTTTTCTTTTCAAAACAGTATTTCTACTTTTTTACTCTCTAAATAGTGAGTCTAGTGTAATTTCAAAATTTCAAAATGAACAATAATATATGTTTTTTTCTTAATGTGGCCCTAATTCTCCTCTGTAGCGTTAGGAATAGGCAAATTCAAAAATATTTTTGACGCACGAAATATTTCCACAAATTTTATACGTTTGGTGTGTAGAGGCCTTAACTCACGTTTAATTTGTAACAATCAAAAAGCTGCACGTCAAACTAAAAGGAAATTAAGATTAAATGAAGTGAAAGTAGCTTAACTAGACAGAGGCGCACTCTTCCAGAGGTAATCTGTGTAAAAGCAGTGTGTAAGTCCCTTGGGGAAGTTCACCGACTCACACACTTTTTTTATCAGATGGATTCACACTTCATTATGGCTGATCCCTGCAGCCACACACATACACACACATGTTGTCCCTGCAGCTACAGTGAAGAGGTCATTACACTCGGTAGCTCTACTGCATCAACAAAACAAATCGATTCTGGCTTTAGGATCAAAGACATTGTGAAAGCACGTGCATCTTTATGTGTGTAACGGAGAAAAACGGGAGAAAGTGGGACATGAACACATGCGGAGATCCATCATGAGAAGTAATCTGACCTTGACGCTCTTTTGGAGAAGAGAAGAGGGGAGCGGAGTGCCAGAGAGACTAATTAACTTGAGAGACACGGCCTTTTTCTCCTCCTCCTCAACAGAGAACATGCATGTGTTTAGTATATATGTGTATTTTGTACTGATATCAGGGCATAGTCATCACTGACAGATGGGCACATGACACAATGTCTCATCATCACATGAGAGCTGCAGCATGAGAGGTAGTGAGGAAGGAAAACAGACACTCAGACTCTCTGACTTGTTCAAACACCAACTAAAAATACTCTAAAATGTCAGGGTATGCATCTCTGACTTCTGTCTCTGTAAAAACCAATTTTACGTGTCAGAAGAAGGTAAGTTTTTTGAGGAGGCTGGTCTCTCTAAGGTAGGAAGTGCTTTTTGGTTGGAATTGGAGCATCTTTTTTTAAACCCCCAAATTTAAATATTACAGGAAAACCAGAAGTCCTTAAGTCAGGAGAATGAGAGTCAGGCATAATTCAACACAGTTTACCAAGAAATGCAAAGCTTGTTTAGTCTGCAGTGGCTTTATGGATCTGTGGTACTTGCACTTGATGCATAATTAAGGCAAACTAATAAAACTGAAAAGTGGTGGTAATATGTAGTCTCATTAACCCTTCAAAGCTACAAACATAAATGCAATATTACTGAAAGTTATTGAAGTGACACTCATAAAGCTAGTTTTTCTTTGCACGGAAATTCAATTCAGTTTTCATTTTCAGTTTTATGGCGCCAAATCACAACAACAGTCACCTCAAAGCACTTTGTATTATAAGGTAAAGGTCCTGCAATAATAGAGAGGAAACCCTACAGTCACACAACTCTCTGTGATCAGGATAAAAGACAAACTGTGGAAGAGAGCCAAAGATCAAAATCATGACGGTCAGTAGAATCCTAAGACTCCTAAAACAAACATTTTGTGAAATGTAACAGCAATATGTGTCGTGGATTCATGCTAACAAGAGCAAAACAAGCATTAGCTGACTGCGCAGCCACAACATAACGTGACCAGGGTTTAATATTAAAGTGTACTGATTTATTGAAAAGTGCAAATATACATCTTAATACATTATATAAGGGAGAAACAGAGCTTTTACAATACAAGGAGCTTGAAAGTCAATATTTGGTATGACCACCTTTATCCTTCAACACAGTCTGAACTCTCTCAGGCAGCTTTCTTGTCATTTCTTTAAGTAGGAATAGTTCTCCAGGCTTCTTAAAGGACATTCAAAGCTCTTCTTTGGATGTTGGCTGCATTTAGATGATCCCACACTGCTTCAATAATGTTGAGGTTCGAGATCTGGGGAGGCCGATCCATGACTGCTAGTGTTTCACTGTGTGATTTTCTGGCCATGTCTTTACTACACTGACAGTATGCTTGGGATCATTGTCATGCCGTAAAAATGAAATTATTAAATTTTTTTAGGATGTTATTGCATTGTGAATCAAAATCTGACTGTACTGTTTTCATAATTCCATTAATTTTAACACGACCTCCAACACAACTGACTGAACCTGAGCCTCAAACCATGACAGTGCCTGCACCGTATTTTACAGATGGCTGTGGACACTCACCGTTGCCCTCCTGACCTTCTCTACAGTATTGATGATGATTTGAATCAAACCTTTCACTCCATCAGACCTTTGGTGATGGATCACCTGAAAGAACTGGCCCTCGATCCCTATGTCAGGTCTGTGCAGGAATATTTCCCCCCTTTTAAAAAACATTTAAAGAAATGGGAACGTGTGCTTATGCAACAGGCTGCTAGTAACAAAGTGTTTAAAGATACAATTGAAAAATTGTTCTTAAGTTTTTGTTATACGTAGACACACCACTGGTTAATCCCTGAGTCAACATGATTCCCAAGATGGTTAAGTACAAGGACTGGACTGAAAATGAGTGAAAATGAACCAAAAAAACTTTCAACAACCTTCAAAAAACTTGGAGAACTATTGCTCACTTTAAAAGTTACTAAAGTGGAAAGGGATCATCCGGCTTGTTACTAACACTTTTTTCAAAAAGCCAAGATACCTGATGGTAGGAGGTCGCATTAGTGCCTATGAAATTGGCATCTTGCACATCTGGAAAGGCTGCATCAGTCCTGAAAGCTATACACAGATTTTCAAACATCTGCTCCTATCCAGAAATCTACTTCCGGGAAGGCCTTCAATATCCAGAAGGCAATACTACACTGGATCTAATACAACAGCATTTGTTCCCTCATGAAAGAAAAATGTTAGAAAGACCCAGGACTGTTGACCAGTTAGAAAACTATTAGAGAAGAGTGGAGCCAACATGCCTCCCAAAAGCCAAACAACTGGTCTCCTCATGACCAGGGAAGCGTAAGTAATTAAATTCCTTTAGTTCATTGTATCATTAAAGAAACTTTGCACTGATTACAAAGCCATTCTACTACTCCTTATCTTAAACCAGGCCCTTGGTAACTAGGGGATTATGCCAGTAAGGGTCTCTCATGCCGTGGCATCAAAATGTGGGTGTGCTTTTTCCGAATGACAGACACCGAAATGTCACAGAGAAAGTGTAGTGCACACCCACTTATCAAATATCAGCAGACACCACTTTTCTAACTAGCACACACTCCAGCAGAAGAACAAACCACTGAGCTAATTAATGTGAAGTCGTCAAAGTTGGATGAAAGCTGCAACTTTCCCAAAGTGAAAGACAGCCTGAGAGCAACAGGGAGAGGGCGATTTGTGTGTGTGCGTTTGTGTGTGTGCGCAGTCCCCTTAAATAGACTCTATCAGATGCAGCGGGAGACGAGAGGAGACAGAGGTGAAAAAGACGGAGGAAGCGAGGGGAAATCAGGCATCCGTAAGGGAGATAATTAGCAAAATATGAGAACATGTGAGGGGGACATGAGAGTATTTACTTATTGTATATCCATCTATGTTTGTGTGTGCTTCTTTGTAAGTGTGTGTAGATGCCCTCACGTGGGAGTTTTGCTGTTCAGGGACAGATGGTGCCACATAACACTGAATGTTGATGTTCTTTGTCTGAACCCAACACTAAACACGCCTACAGCATCTCTGAGCTCTGCACAGCTTTGACTGTATGATACTGGATTGTGAGTCTGTATGTGTTTGTGCATGTGTAAGTTCTTTACACTCTAGAGATTTTGGGCTGCTTCAGATGCAAGTTGACAGTCCCTTGACAAATGTGGCAAAACGGTGGTCCTAGATCCCACTGTGAGACCCATCCAAACGATACATAGCCTGTGGCAAAATTCAGATTGTGTCAGGTTGTTTAAGACTGAGTTCTCACACCGCTACGGCCCACATCTACAAGCAAACACTATAAAAATAACAAAAAATATGGCATAATGCCATTTCTGAAAAACACACACACACAAACAAAGCTGTGAAATCTCGTATACTTCCTGTTTATATCACAGCATAATGACTGACCAGCCAGTCGGCGCACAATCTGACGCACTAATATGACTGATTGAGACACTAAGTCTGCATTCCATACTTATGAATAACTGAACTGAATCCAGTCGCATTTTGTGTTCATATGTGTGTGTCGGTGATGTACTCACCCGTGCCAAATGCTGTTTTGATCTTCGCGTGTAACGGTCTCCCATGGGTGAACAGCCTCAGCGTGCTTTCATGTGTGCTTTGGAAACACTGAAGTGTCTAACATCTGACTTGTGCTTTTCAGTCTGGAAGAGAAACAAATGGTGGATAAATTTAGAATTTTAGAATCTAATTGGTGCCGAGTGAGTTAAAAAATCAGGCTCTGCATGATTTTTTAAAAACTATTTTCATTCATTCAATAATCCCGGATGGCATTCAGGCAAGAGTTGTCACAGCGTCTTGCTGGAAACAATTTTTTTTTTTCATATATACAAATAAATATAGCAAAACATTTGTGATTATTGAAAAAGGGATTCGTAGCTCGTTACAGGTAGTCTTGTAGGCCAAGTTGAAATGTCTGTATGGTGTGATTGATAGTTTGATACAAAACATCTTACTTGGGGACTGGATCCTTAAACCACTCTAATGTCTGTGAAGGTTCTCAGTCATCCAGGTCATCGTAGTCTAAGATCATCATAGTCTCTACATAGAAGAGCCGCCTCAACGGGACAAGACTCGGCTGTCCATTTGCATCTAAAGGACAAAGGTCACTCCTTCAAGGATGCCAATGTTCACATTTTGGACAGAGAGGACAGATGGTTTGAAAGAGGAGTGAAAGAAGCCATCTATGTCCACTGTGAGCGACCATCTTTGAACAGAGGCGGGGGTTTACAATGGCGATCGGCGATTGTGGCTCAAGAGTTGGGAGTTCGCCTTGTAATTGGAAGGTTGCCGGTTTGAGCCCCAGCTTGGACAGTCTCAGTCGTTGTGTCTTTGGGCACGACACTTTACTCGTTGCCTACTGGTGGTGGTTAGAGGGTCCGGTGGCGCCAGTGTCCAGCAGCCTTGCCTCTGTCAGTGCGCCCCAGGGCGGCTGTGGCTACAATGTAGATTACCATCACCAGTGTGTGAATGGGTGGATGACTGGTTGTGTAAAGCGCTTTGGGGTCCTTAGGGACTAGTAAAAGCGCTATACAAATACAGGCCATTTACCATTTACCCGTTTTCCCTCTTGACGGGTTACTCCCACAGAGCTTAAATCTGGGACTCTCCACCATTTGATGCTAGAGCCCACACCCAGTTTCACACCTTGGCTCAGGCGATTAGAGGATCACTAGGGGGTCCTTTTGTCCCTCTGTGGGGGGTTACTCCCACTAGGTTTATATCTGTGACTCTCCACCATTTGACCTTAGAACTGAAGAAGCTTATCGGATGAGAGGTGAAACGTCTTCAAGCAACTTAAAGAAGTCCAGACGCTTTTCTTTCCAAGCTCCTTAGACAACACACAATTTCACAAAGCTCAAATAATCTCAAACTGGTTTCCTGGACATTACAGTAAGTTCACTGTACTCAAACAGCCTCCGCACTCATAGATCTCTGTCCAATCGAGCACTTTTCTTTCGAAGCTCTTTAACTCACTTTAATGCACAAAAAACAGTTTATAACTTTTATGTAGCATGCTTGACCTGATTTTTTTGTTGATATTAGTTCTCTCTCCATTAAAATGAAGCTTATATAAAATCAGAGACTGTTTGTTCCTTTGGAAGTGAGCAAAATTCATTAAGGGATCAAGTCATAATTTATGATGTACTGTGAGACGTGTGGCAGCAGAATATCTCTCACCACCTATTTATTGAAGTGACTTCCATTTCCATGCTTGACTTTAGTTCATTTTCATGTGCTCTTTAGTTTAACATATGTTCCATATGGATCAATTTTCCAGGTCACCAGGGTGAAGGTCTTCAGACTTTATACGTACGAGCATTAGAGTCCTCCATCATAATATGGTTTACTTTCTTTTGATTGGTCATTAGAGTGGATAATGGCTATGATAGTAACAAAAGGGCGGTAACTAGCCTCTCCATGGAAGTAATTCCACCTGATAATTGCTATTCAGTGGAACAGTAATATTCAAAGGGGCTGCTTCTTTATATGTACAGGTAATATTGACCATTTCAGAAGCCATTTACAGCCATCCATTCTTCTTCAGTACGATAAACAGCCTGAGCCATGAGCGCTTCATTTGTCTTTGTCAGAGTGCTGCTTTTACTGTTACTTCATTACCCTCGGACTTGATGCTTTCTTTTGTCTCTGCTTCGTATTTCACAGATCGTCTTCTACCAGCCATCTGACATTTGAAAAAAGAAACAGGAAGGATAAAAAAAATTTTTTTCTTCACCTGTGTTGGGGAGTAACAGAATATCTCCTGTTACGTATTTAAAATACAAAATATGACTAACTGTACAGTTACCATTTAAAAAGGTGATAATTAGAATACAGTTACTTTGTTGAAATAAATGGATTACACAGCGGTGTTTCCTGTTTCATATGTTAGGCTATCCCCTTCCTATCCCCTCTCTAATTTTGATAATTCTTGGCATTGCGGTAAACCCAAACAAAACACGTAATAAGGAGCTCTAATGTAAGTGTCCTGTTAATGTTGGTGGTGTCAGGTACACTATGGACCCAAAGCCAGCACAACAGAGCCAGCAGTGTGCGGGCAGGAATGCATTTCTTACTTGGAAATCCAGACAACACTTCACATTTAAAGAAGAAAGGAATGGGCGAAATCTGACCGTGTGATGCAAACTCTGTTTGCCAGCAACCAAGCTGCTCTCAGCTTCAAAAGACTCCAACCTAAAGAAACATCAGGAGGTAAGTTCTTTCTAAAAAACTAATGCTAGCCCACTGCAACTACCTTGTTTTAGTTGCGGTAGCTACAGTACCTGGGTTATGTGCCACTTCAGTAGTAGTAATAAATCACACAGCAATAGGATATCAAAGATACTGAAGGCTACTCGCCACCGAGCTAATATTGTTAGCTGTGTTTGTGATTTTAAAACGACATACGGATATATAAAGGAACTGTATTTACACATGACATTAATTTTATTATGAGTAATGTCAACCCTGCATTGAATAGAGGCTGTAATCAGCTGACCTTGTTGTTGTGAGAGTCACTGCTCTTTGTGGGTTTAGCCAATTGAATTCAACAAGATAGAAGCAGAGGTTATTTGGCTGATTTCCAACCCCCTGGCACCACAATGCTTCTATAAAAAGGTAGAATTCAGTGACTCTAATCACTGTTATTGCTTTTAATATAAACTGATATCTGCTACCTGTGATATAATTTAACGTTTACAATGAACTGCACCAGTCCAACATAGTGCATTACCATACATGCACCATGAACACATTCCACAAATATGGACAAAAGAGATGTGTTGAGAAGTGGCCGTGGGATATTTTTTTCCTGTTGTGTCTAAGAAAACTAAGAGTTTATAATACTGACCAATAACAACGCTCTATGGAACTTAAACAAAAAAGGTATTTAGAAGTTGTCTAAAGACCTGGATCTAAAGTCATAACATGCACATAACATGCACATTATGACATCCCATGTTTGTTTTTGCCTGAGCACTTAATTATGCTGGTATACTTCTACAAAGTACAGCTGAGCTCAGTTAAGGAGCAGTCATTAGCTGTGGTATGTGGTCACAAGCCAAAGTATTTGCATAATGGTTTGTACAATGCTACCACTGTCCATCCATCATCCTAACTACTTATAGGCTGAACCCTATTTCAGCTGTATTACAGTGAAAAAACACACTGAACAGTTCGCCAGTCTGTCGCAGGGCGAACAGGAAGACAGGCACCATTCACACTCATGCGTGCTGGGTTAATAGATGTAAACATGTCTTTGGACCGTGGCAGGAAGCCGGAGTACCTGAAAATAACCCATGTATGCACAGTGAGAACATGCAAAGTGCACAGAGGAAGACTCCAGCAACCCAGGAAGTCCAGGGAGGACAACACTATCCTCTCTATCAAGGTGTTATAGTCGTGCTTACTGAAAAGACAAGAATTTGACCCGTGTACCAAATTTTGAGCCAATCGATCCAAGGTGTTTTTTTTAAGATCTTTAAAACAAAATCACAAATGTCAGTCTTGTGGCAGTAAGAGAGCAGAGGATCATCAGAGTCAGGGGATTTCAATCCTTTCAGGGACTGCTGTGCAGCTTATTAAATACCACTCACCAAAGTCACCACAGATCCACCCCATTTGCATGTCTAATGTAAAAGATATCAGAAAGTTAATACAAAGAAATAAACCAACCAACCAACCCTAAGGCAGAGGTGCATTCATGTGTATCTCATGTAGCTGTGACATTTATTGATCCCTCGTCCCGCTTCACTCTTTCTTCTCTCGTTTTCTGTTTTCACAGTTAATTGTGACAGCGACTCGAAAATCGAACAACAGAACCCAGCCACGATCCTCCTTGTCAGCCACCCTGGACCTGCGCTATTAATGCGAGAAGCCACCATCACAAGCAGCCAATATAAGAAGCGCAAAGGTCAAAGCTGCGGTGGCGGCCAGTAGGGATGAAATATATTGCTCTGTCACTCTCTCATTTATGTGGAGTGCAGAAGCTCTCAGTATACATTTCCAAATGAACCTTTAACTTCTGTGTGTCTCAGGAAATATAAACCCTACTTAACATTCAAACACTAACATGCCTAGGTACAAGCTGACTTTCCTTTCCAAAAGCATATGGAAAAAAGCACTACATGAACAATAAAGTTTGCTAATTTGCTAATTAGATCCCCTGTTACCACCAGGGTTGGCAAGGCTGTGCTTTTTGGGATCGGAGCATGCCTCCAACTACTCAAAAAGCTCAGCTGAAACCACAATAAGCAACACTTTTTGCTCTCTAGGCAACAAGAGCTTATCCTCAATCTTTAACAAAGCTGTTTCTGCTGTCAGAGTTGTTAAATAAGATCTCAAAAAAGCAACACTTAAGCTCTGATGTAACAACAGCAAGGGTAGAAAGCTCTCAGTCCGTTAATTATCTTGCTTGATTTAATTTTGTTTCTGGAAATGATGGAGATGTAATTAGCTTGAAGTATCAGCTAAACACAAGCCACAGCGGATTAGACAGTTAGCCTAAGGACACATCTGAACGCAGGCTTTGTAGTTGGAAACCCTAACTGAAATGACAAGGTTAACAGTGGTGGTGTATTCACGGGTGTCGTCCTTGTACGGTAGCGTGTTTTGCGTTTTAGATTCTAAAGACTTACTGATGCAG